TCTGTATGACAGACTCTAGGTCCATCCACCTCATTACAAATAACTCAGTTTCGTTCCTTTTTATGGCTGAGTAATATTCCATTGTATGTATGTGCCACATCTTCTTTATCCATTCATCTGTTGATGGGCATTTAAGTTGCTTCCATGTCCCGGCTATTGTAAATAGTGCTGCAATGAACATTGTGGTACATGTCTCTTTTTGAATTATGTTTTTCTCAGGGTATATATATGCCAAGTAGTGGAATTGCTGGGTCATATGGTAATACTATTTTTAGTTTTTTAAGGAACCTCCATACTGTTCTCTGTAGTGGCTGTATCAATTTACATCAGGATCAGTTCTTAAACATTTTTTTCTAGCTATAGTCACTTCCTAGATAATTTCATCTACACCCACGGTTTTAAATACCATTCACATACTGATGACTCCTGAAGTTATATTTCCAGCCCTCTACCTCTCCCCTGAACCCCAACTTCCTACTCTACTAAGGTGTATAACGTGCATATCAAACTTCCAACCTAAGTCAACTAAGCACATCCAAACTCTGTATTCCCCGTTCCTACTCAGCTCTTAGTCTTCCTGCCTCAGTAAATAGCAACTCCTTTCTTCCAGTGGCTGAGACTTTAAAACTCGGAATCATCTTTAACTCTCTTTTATGCTGCAACCTCAATCTATCTACAGGTCCTTTCAGCGTTACCTCCAAGTTGTATCTAGAGTCTGGCCACTTCTCGCCCCACTGCTCCTACCCTAATCTAAGCCACCACCGTATCTTGCCTGGACAACTCTAACAGCCTCCTAACTGGCTTCACTGCTTCTATCCTTGCCCCCCTGCCACCCCTAGCATCCAGAGTAATCTTCTAAAAACTGCAATTAGATAATACCACGCCTCTACTCTAAATCTTGTAAGGCTTGCCATCTCACTTTCTGAGTGGAATCCAAAATCCTTATGAGGGCCTACAAGTCATATAAAACCTGGCTCCTGCTACCTTTCTGATTTCAGCTCCCATCTCTCTTCCCCTGGCCCACTCCAGTCTAGCTGCACTGGTCTCCCTGCTATTCTTTGAACACGCCAAGCCCGCTCCTTTCTCGGAGCCCTTGTACTCTGTCCTCTAAGCTTTGTCACTCTTCCCTCAGATACCTGCATGTTAAATTCTCTCACTTCCTTCAGGCCTCTGCCCAAATTTCACCTGAACAAAAAAACTTGCCCTATTTTTTTCTGAAATACCCCTTCCCCCCATCTCTCTCTCTCATTACCACGCTTTACTTTACTTCTTAGTGATGATTACAACTTGACATATTTTATACTATTTGCTAATCTGTTATTGATTGTTGCCCCATTAATATACGTTCAATAAGAACAAAGTCTTTGTGCTTTTAGTCGTTGCTGTATCCCAAGCTCCTAGAAAAGTGCCTGATACATAGTAGGTGTTTAACAAATATACATAGAATGAATGGATTGGTTGAATGCACTCATCCAGATGTCTTGTCTTCAAGTGAAGAGAGTGGTTTCCAGATGGTTGTCTAATTAATATGATCAAAACCACGTGTGAGGAACTGGGAGAGGTGTACATGGAGATCATCAGATGTGCATTTATTTATTACGAGAGACCATCATGGGATCCACAGATATTTTCAGGTTGCTCCTTGATGCCAAATCATTCGCCAAACTATAAGGTGAAATGAAAATCTGCCTTTAACTTCTTTGGCATGTCATTATCCTTGGGGACTCAGTGTGTTCATCTGTGAAATAGGCAGTTGGAGATGTGGGTATATTCTGCCAATTTATAGTCTACAGTGTGCTGGAGGGAGGTGGTTCAGCTGGGAGGATCAACCACACACGCTCTGGAGTTTGACTGCCTGTGCCTGAATCCTGCCTCTGTTCCTCACAGGCCACACGACCTTAGGTAACTCACTGTTTCCTCATTTGTAAAGTGGGAATAATAAAAGGGTAATAATAGCATTTAGTTCAAAGAGTAATTGTTAGGTTTATATAAGATAATACATGTAGAGCATGTAGGATATGGTCGGGCACACAAGTGCTCAATAAATGTTAGCTATTAAAAATGAGGTGTTCTGGGGGAAGTTCTGAGGGGTCAATGCTATTAATGTGTTTTAAGGGCAATAAGCTATCCTAGAATATCAGATGATATGGAATCTTTAAAAGTGTGATAATAGGTTTTGCTAAGATGTATGTGGGTCACTGGCTTGGAGGAAAAGGGAACATACATTCCTGGCTCTCTACTCTGCATTGTGTGTAGCTCTGGCTATGAAACCCTAAAAGATGGACCGAATTATCTTTGGGTTGTGATCAAGCATGAGACATTTCCACCCTGAGGAAAAATATTTGAAGGTTGCAAAATGAATGCTGGATTTGGTAGCCCATGATGATGATAGTGAAAAAGACACTTGAGGGAAGCTGTGAAAAATCTGGTATGACCAAATATATCTATATCAAGAAAATAAAGAGCATTGAGCAAAAGTCACGTAGAAGGAAAACCTGAGGGATACCGCTACACGTGAATGTGAATACTGCTTATAAGAAATCTGACGAATCTTATAAGAGGCAGCTCTGTGGAGATTCCCCCAAGAGCAGGTTGGAGAAATAATGACCATATCAAACCTATCAGAGACCAGGGTGGCTGTATTTTGTGCTGGAAAACCATATTTCCATAAGACCAGCAAGTTGGTGTCTCTGAGTGAGAAAACTTGGAAGACTGTAGGTAAGCCAGGACCAGGATGTTAAGCATGACAGTGGGAGCTTTCCTGTCAACAGTTTTGATCATGTGAAACAAAATGGTGGCATCAAAATAGAAACTTCTCTCCCTTTAAAGCTATAGATAAAATTTGAAAATACATATCTGTAGGTTTATAGATAAAATATGGACTTTTCTGCTTCTGTGGACCATACATATGAGAAAATGTGCAACACTAAAGAAAAGTCTTTCAACATGCTGTGGCTAGTACGAGTATCATCTTTGTGGCTATCTTTGGTAACACTGATAATTTCCAGTAAATCTTGTTTTTGCAATAATGAAAAAAATGTGATAATAATATTGTGATTAGGTAGGAGAAAGCCCTTATTCTTAGGAGATACATGGTAAAGTACTTAAGAATAAACCCTCACAATGTCTGTCACTTACTTTCTAATAATCTAGCCAAATATATCTCTATGTTTCTGTGTCTATCTATCAAGCAAATGTGACAAAATGTTAACAACTGTTGAAGCTAGGTGGATAGTGTAGTTTATTGTACTACTCTTTCAATATTTCTGTATGTTTGAAATTTTCAAAATAAAAGGTTGAGGAAAAGAAAGAGCCCTAGAAATAGTCTAGTGAAGTCCAACACTCATTTTACAGAAAGAAGGTCAGGTGTGAAGTATTTACCTAGGGTCATGCTGCCTGAGGCAGGACCCAGGTCTGCTGGCTGCCCACGGCTCCCTGTGCGTGGGTTGCTGCTGTTGACCCTTAGGCAGCTGTGAGCTGCAGAGGAACAAACCCAGCTTCCCCTCAGAGACCAAGGGGTGTATGGGTGTGTGAAAGGGCACCTGTGTTGGTATTTCCTTTTTGTTTATTAAGCATAGAGATAGGTCATCTGGTAGAAAGGTGTGATGTCGAAAATGTGAAAGAGGCACCAGAGCCAGACCTGCCATCCTTAGAGAGTGGGCATACCCATCTGTTTGTGGTTTTTAATTGGTGATGGTGGTGTGTGTGTCAACTCTGGGATTTCAGAGGAGAGAGGGAAGAGTAAGGGTTGGGGGCAGGTCCAGGAAAAGCAGCAAGGAGAGGCTGGCTTCAGTTCTGGAGCTCCCTGAAAGAAGGGACCCCAGGGTATCTCTGGGGATGAAACAAGGGTACATATTTAAAGAAAGGAGATGATTGTCTGCGGTCTGCAGCAGCCTCCTCTAGCTAATAGGGTTCAAGGCAGTGAAAAGGAGAGAGGGGAGAGGAGGGAACGTCCATGCAAGCCTCGAGAGGGGGCCACAGAGAAGAAACGGAAGAGAAAGAAGAGGAAAAAAACGCAGACGAGGCAGCCTGGGCCACGATGGGGGAGGGGGTGGGAAGAAGAGCGTTGGAAAGGTAAAGAGCCCGCACCTGGGGGCCTGCGAACGAGTCGAGGACCCTCAGCCATGGCAGGCTAGAGTGTCTTGCCCCAGAACGGTCCTGCCTCTCTCGCCTCCGAGTCTGCAAGTCCCTGGAGGCCTCGGTAGCGAGCGCCGAGGTCCTGGCTCTCTTACTGGGGGGAGGGGCAGGCAGGAGAGGCGGGGCCTCCGGGCCGGGCAGGAGCGGAGCTTCTGGCCGCGGGCGGGGCTCCTCTCCGGCGGGCGGGCGCCGGAGTCCGGGGCCGCCGCTTCTCCCACCCAATCTGCCGAGGCGCCTGGCTCCTCCTCCCCCCCCCCCCCCCCCCCCCCCCCCCCCCCCCCCCCCCCCCCCCC